TATACAGCTGCTTGAAAGTGTAAACATTTTAAAAAACCCTGAGCTGTAGCTTAAAACCCCAGTTACACTGAAAAGTTGCAAAATGTGGTTTTAGTGTAATGCATTAGGAGTTGGGAACACACAACTTCCATTAAGAGTTGAAGACACAATAGGAGGTCTGACCAAGATTATTACATAGCAGTTTAGTACTGTATTAGATTTTTTTTTTTTAAAGTAAACAACCTAGATGTTTTGACTTTTGATATGACAATTATTTATGAGAATATAAACTTAAATCTGTCCATTGCTACTGATAATAAACCAAAACAAACAAACAAACAAACAAAAACAGGCAAACAAACGAAGTTAACTAAAGCTGTCCGTTTTGTAATGTTTCCATCATAAAACCTATGGAAAATAAGTAGATTTTGTGGAACACTGTTGAATTCAATAGATCTTTAATGTTTTATAGTAAATAGAAGGAAGTTAAATGCTAATAATCAATGATTCCTTACAGAAACTACTTCTTTTTAATCTGTGGGTTGAATGACAAAGATTGAAAGCTCTATTAATAATCATGCTGTAAATGATCTATACTTTCAGTAAGGAAAAGACTGAACTAAAGTACTGACAGAACAGTTCTTATATTCCAAACCAAGAGCCATGATGATGAATGAGATATTCAACCCAGCAGAAAAACAAACAAGCTACATTCATCTGTCCCATGCATTAGCTGAACTCACATCACTTTAGAATCTAAGACTGTGAAAGCAGGTGACAAAACTAGAAAGAGCATTTGGTGCACTAGTAGTGTACATACTTATTCACTGAAGTCTAAACTTTATTTTTGAAGGGGAATCTGAGAGCTCTGATACTGTAGGTAGTAATTTCAAAGTCATAGTTTCATTTAGTTCTTTAGCAAATGAGTTTTAGTTCTATTGACTTAATTAGAGTGCTGCTGGGCCATTATTGGAGGAAAATTTTGCAAATAAATTAGACCAAATTAACAAAACTTTAAGAAAATGATTCACAGGACACCCAGCACTTAGTTTTGAGTGTAAGAAAAGAAAACCCAGTAAGAGTATAACACTTCTTGTAAAATAAAAATTTTTAAAGAACAGCTTAAAATCTGCTTTTATACACCTATGGATGGAGATAGAGATAGCTCTTCATCCAAAATCCACCAACAATCTTCTTTGAATAGCTCAAATAATTTCCTAAAGCTTCCTGAAATCAGAGGCAAGTTAGCCCTCACCCAAATCCCCAAACCATCTGGCCTGTCCTACTTAATGAAGGGGGTAAGAGCACCCACCATTTTCAAACAACCGTAGGATTAGAGTTTTTATCCAAGAACAGATAGGCCTTACTGCTCATCCTCAGCCTGCAAGGACTCAAATTGCCAACAAATTGCTTAACCACCTACCTCGGGGGAGGACTAGACAGAAAAGCTCTGCATCTCTTTGCGTAAGGAGTTGCATATTTCTCCTTATATAGCAAAATCAGAAGAGTCACAGGCTTAGAAAGAAAAACTGCAAGAGGAAGACTTCCTTCTAAGGCCCATTGATGAAGATATTTCATTCTGAGGGAGAAATCCTACAGTGCTGGAAATTTCACCAAGCTGCTTCCTATTAAGAAAGTGAGGAAGTACCCCAGTACTCCCAGACTGACTCTGGGTTCTCTGTGGTAAAAGCAGTAACATCATGCTTTGTTTTATCCAATCCCAAATTCAATTCTGGAAAAAGAGTTTCTACCATGGAATTATTCCAGGACCAGTCATCAAGAAGATTCAGTGAGTCAGACAAACCCTTTATCATAATCAACAGCATATCTACATTGCTTCTTGTAATGAATGCCCTGCAGCTATTCAGTACAGAAAAGCATGTTCTCAGGGATGTTTGGCATTAGTCAGATCTTGTTACTCTGACACAGATTTGACATGTCAATTAAAGTTAAGTACTCAGCGATCAATTTAAATCACAGTTAATTTCTCTTTAGCTGCTATAGTAAATCTCTGACAGATTAATGGGTTACAGTTAGTGGTGGAGCATGGAGTCTGTTGCATTTTTTTTCACTCACTAATTGAACTGCCATACAACTATAGATTGTTACTAGCCTTGCTGCAGTTCAGACCTGTAATAATGGAAAGACCTAAGAAACATAGGGAAGGTTATTTGCAATAATAAATCATGTCAGTGAAAAGATCGCCAATGTTTATTAGCATGATAAGATAAAGTGTGAGCCATTTCAGTCCATTCTAAATGTATTTATTGTAAAGGATGTTCTTGCCCTTATATTCAAACTGATTTCCCCCTCTAGTATTTACCCTTCAATATATTTATGGATGGCAAGTGAGTCCTCTGTTTGTCTTTACATTGCCAGGTTAAAGAAATCAAACTTTCCTGTCTCCTCTCAATGAACTGGCTATCCAGTCCAGTCTTATATCATTATTCTCTTAACATTCTCTTACTTTCTCTTACTTTTTTTTTTTTTTTTTTTTTTTCAACATGACTACAGATGAGGCTGCACCATAAATAATCTTGTTAATCACAGAATTTCAACGATTAAGCAGGAGAAAAGACAGGGAGATCCTTCAGATTTAATACATGCTATATTTACATTTCTCAGATGTCAGTGAGATCTTCTCCAATTTTGCAGTGAAAGTGGTAACCCACATGCAAAATAACATACTGATTTGAGAGGTTTACTTAAATTTAAATGCTTGAGTTTCCATACTTGAGAAATTTCATCAAAGACATATTGAAATCATTACCTGAATAGGCTTTTGGTCCAGTCTGAAATTTTCAGGTATGCAAAGGAAAAATGAGGAAACTCTAACAATTTACCCAAAGTAATTAGGTTACCTAAGGTGCAACCACAGTGCTTGTGGCTGGTTAACAAATTTAAAATGGAAAGATGCTATTACCACATAGTCCTAATACACCACAAGGCACCCTGTCTAATTCTACTAATCAAAGCAACAATAAAATGCATGACAAGTTGCATGCATTTCAGAAACTAGTATAGCAACTTTACAAAATCTCACCAGTAAGAATTAAAACAGCTAATGTATCCTGTAATATACTAGCTTGCCATGTACATTACTAGGAAGGAGAAAGTAAGCTTAAGAGAGAAAACAAGTATAACAAAAAACCTGTATCCATCAGATCCCCATATTGTACCACCTTCGTATCAGTATAACAAAAAGCAAAATTGTCCTTCAAGCCAGGAGACCATACATTACACAAGAAAAGCTCATATTAGAAACTGCAAAATAAAAAAGGTAATATGTTTTCACTCTCCCATGGTGGCGACAAGTTCAGTACTATACTGAAGAGAGTAGCACTCCTGTTTCAGAAAATAACCAATTTTCTGCTTTGTTTTGCATTTTATATGCAAGTGGTGGAATTAATCTGGCCTCTCTCTCTCTCTCTCTTTTTTTTTTTTTTTTTCTTACCACAATATTACATCAAGAACAGAATCATAAATGGAAAATTTGCTAAGGGCCTGTAATTAGCCTGTTACAAACACACACACAACCATTTGACCAAACAGTCTCATTCCCTGTGGGGTGATCCACAAATCCAATAAAAAAAATAGCATGCTATGGTTACAAAATTATGCTTCCTTTAAGTTTTCTTCAAAGCATTTTTAGGCAAAGATTCCCCTGGGTCTTATTTTTCCTGATATTGATTCTTCTCCCTTGTAACATCTATTTAAATCATTTAACTCATTCCTGCTCCCCCATGCCTTTAGCAGTTCCTTTGCATTCTGCCCTCCTTTGACTGCAGGTGAACAGCTCTGCCTGTTATATTTGTCATAATTTTGGTACTGAAGATGAAATTCAGCACTTAGTGTAACAAGTAAATTCCAAAGCACTCCATTCTGTGCAAAAAGCTCTTCCAGCATTATGTAAAATGGAACTGATAGCAACAGACGTAGAAACCTAGAAAGGGAGAAATCTAACCATTGAGGGCTATCACTCTGCTCATGTGTATAACCTACAAATATGTGTCCTTGTTCATGGTTGATTTTCAAACACATACAATACAAGTTAATAAACTTCCCCTCTGCATCTAACAAGGTCTTAGTTTATATTTTATTTTCATCTAATTTCACTAATGCAGTTGTGCAAAGGAGGAAAATCATAGTATGACCATTAAAGCATAGGATCTTATGCATAGCATCTCAATTCTGTCTGTTCTTGATGTAATTTAATTTTATGCTAATATTCATTTTCTCCAAAACAAATATTTTCATCTTTTGGAATGGTAAATTTTTAATAATGTGTCCAGACAGAAATACTTCATCTCTGACAGAGATGTGATTTCCAGAGATGTGATTTCCAGAGATGTGAAATCCCTGTGATTTCCAGAAGTTCAAAGCACTCTGCTCATCTTTTCAATAAAACACCCTTAATTAAAATAGGATTGACTATGGCAATATGATGACTATGACTACTCTGGTACCTAAGCTAAGTATCAGAAGCAGTTACAAAATCTGTACCACATTCAAACAGAGGAGGAACATGTGTTTCCTTCTCATACAGCTGTATGGCAAAAGAAAGAATTTTTCAATAGGGAACTAAAGCACAGAAAGACTAAGTGGTATGTCTAAAATACGTAAGGATTAGAGAGAAAAGAAATAAGTGAACTGAGGTTCCCTTACAGTAGGACAGACTTTCACTGCCTCAGAGAGGGAAGTAGAGCAGAAAAAGGTAACGCCATAAAACTCTGTATGTTTCTCTGATTTCTATCTCAAGACCATGCTACTGTAGGAATAGAGTTATATGGAGCTATATGTACTGTATGCAGAGGTTGGATTTCCTTATCTTGGGATTTTTTCAATTGCCCTGAAATTATTCTTATACATTGTGCCCTCACTAATACAAATAGGTATCATGCTGACATTCAGCTAAGTAATTCTTTTGTCATACACAGATGGACAGGGGATTACATGGCTAAGAAATGAAATAAAAGCTAAATCCCTATGCTTGATAAAGCTTTGCGTGTTTTCTCTTTCAGGATTACCGAGTGAACATCTTTCTCCGCCAGAATTGGAATGATCCACGTCTTGCGTACAGTGAATATCCAGATGACTCTTTAGACTTAGATCCATCCATGTTGGATTCAATTTGGAAACCTGATTTGTTCTTTGCTAATGAAAAAGGTGCCAACTTTCATGAAGTTACAACAGATAATAAGTTGCTGAGAATTTTCAAAAATGGAAATGTACTTTATTCTATCAGGTGAGTCTCTATGAGTCTCTAATCAAGTGTTGTTTTTTTTTGTTTTGTTTTGTTTTGTTTTGTTTTCAGGTAGAAGCTCAGAAGTGTATCTTAGAATTGTTAACAGATATTTTCAGTTTCTAGGCACACAGAACTATTACTAAAGTAAATGTGAATTTTGAATACTGAATTTCATCATCATTACTAATTTTTTTAAATGCCAAAGTGATCCCTCACTAGGTATGTACATAGTAAAATAAGAGTAAAAAAAAGAAAAATTATCATATAAATAAGAAAATTATCAATAAATAAGAAAATTATCATTCCCATTTTAAAGTACACAGATACAGAACTTGGACACTTGCACAGAGCAAATATACCTAGATTATAATAATTGACCTGGCCTGTGTATGAGTTTAATATGCTGTACTTTTGAATGTCATAAGAATACAATCCATTTTTCACCTTTTTGGATATTGCAATTGCACACTAACATGGAAACATGACCTGTTTGAGGAAGTATGAGATTTAAATAATAGGTCACTTGCTTCTGGAGGTAGAGAGGAAAGTGAAAAGTTTTGAGAAGCTGTAAGCAGCAATCACATCTAAGTATTGACACAAAAAAAACAGTTGTTCTTTTCTTCCCACTTTCTTTTTATTAATATAGATATCAGTAGGCTGTAAAAGTTTTAACATCATTCTTACAAATAACTTCAAAAATATAATCTAATTAAAGATGCTTTCAATATAGGTATACTGATGCCTATAGTCATGATACAGATTTTGCATTAATACAGTGACCAACTTGAACAAAACGTTACAATTTTTGAAATAAATATCTCTCTCTTCCACTTAGCATTTTGTTATGATTTATGATACTGCAGCAATGGGTAACTGAACTTTTTTGAAGAGACATCAGGAGTCTGCAAAACAATTTGTACAACAGGACAAAAAAATGTTTGTGACTTGCATAAATTTATCAGTGGCAAGGCTTTTCCTCCTTGTCCTACTCCCTACAGACACAAGCACTCAACTGAAGCAAGTTTGGATAGCAACTTCAATAGAATTCTGATCAAGTTCACAGTCTCATGAAATGGGGACAAAACCATTATAATATTAAAATTATAAAAGCAATCATTGACTGTGAGGCTAGCAGATGCCAGGTTCTTGTGGAGACAGAATGTTTATATTGCTATGATTTAATTAAGAACTATTGCAGTTCCTGAAGCAGGTGTTATACAAAATTATTCCAGAATTATACAATCCACATCTAGTTGAGTTGTTATACGAATTTGAGCCAATTAAGCTTTTGATTAGGGGAGACATGATAATTCCTAAAGAGCTGATATTGAAAGAAAAGAAAACTAAAGATTTCTAAATCTGTTTTTGTTTTGTTTTGTTTCGTTTTGTTTTTCTCGTACAGAGCCAAGGTTCCTCTTCTCTGAAATGGCTTGCTGTGTCAGTAGCTTACCTGTCTGATTTTATATTTAGAACTTTTTTTTAACAGTATGAAAATAAGGTCAGGGTTTGAGTTCTCTCCTCTGACTCTCCTCCTCTAGCTCTGTCACTGGCAGGATGAACAAAAGTTATAGCAATAAAGAAACAGAAAAAGCTTCAGAGAAGGAAAAAAATGCAGTGAGAGAGAAATGTACAGCTATACTTGCCACCTAATGCCCACTTCCATCTAGATCTCAATGCCAAAATCAGGCCATTCAGGTTTAAGAGAAAAGAATTAGAATATTGCCATCAAGTCCCCCAGGGAGTATACTGCCTACTGTACTGATAAATGAATGTGGGGAAAAATTTTCCTGCAAGCCATTCTCTGGCTAGAGGAAAGGTACAGTCATGACCCTGAATGGCTACTTAGATGTGCCCAGTGAGGCACATGACTTTACCTCACATGTTCTTCTTTCGCATTCCTCTGAGAATTACCACTCTAAAAATAATTTATTTTGTTGATATAATATGTAAAAATACATATTTTTTTCTATAGATTGTAAAGTATTTCACAGAAAATGTCATGGCTAACATGAAACAGCTATGTTTCAAAATTACAGGCATATTTCAGTCTACCACCAATATCATAAAATGTTATCTTAAGCCTTTGTGTTGACAATTTAAGCACCTTATTTTGGGACAATAACATATAAATTATTTACCAGCATGATTTGTAGCTGAGATCTGTTATAAAATTCTTGAAAATCTGGGTAAATTTTATGCAAAGGATTTGAAACACTGTAACAATGCAATAATTCTATGGTAGCACCAAAAAAGCATGCTGCTGTTGCATTCCTCTAGACCTAAGTTAGGCAACCCTACTGGCTAGTGCTTTTCTGAAGGCCTGTAACAAGTTCTGTCTTTCTGTTTTCTTCTGTTTTGTTGTCATGCTAGATTAAGACAGTAAAATTTGTTCAGCTAATATAAATCCCTTTTGAGAGCTTTCTAATGAAAGACTGTTTTCTTCTATTTCTAATGACTTCCCATGTTTTGATGCACTGATGCAGTCTTCCTGTGCAATTCTATGGCATCTTTGTGGTATATTTTTAATATATTTTTGGTTGTTTTCTTTTTCTTTTTTCTTTTTTTTTTCAGATTGACTTTAATACTGTCCTGTCCAATGGATCTCAAAAATTTTCCAATGGATGTGCAAACATGTATAATGCAGCTGGAAAGCTGTAAGTTTGAGTAATGTACTATCCTATAAATACTTTTCTAGAACTTACTACAACTATGCAGGGGGTAGAAAGACTCCTTGTAGTGGTGAAAGGAGAAAACCTTTCAAAACTGAATCACCTGTTTTAATCTGTGATATATGGATAATTTACAAGAGAAGAGATTCTTTCATCCTTACTTCTATTAACAATTGTCAGTTTCACGTAAATTTAATGGTACTAGTAAAGTACCCAGTGCCAGAATTTACATTTATGCAACATTTATACATATTGTGATTCACCATGAAGTCTCCCTTGTGTTCACATACACACACAGACAGTAATATGGGAAAGCATAAAGAAAACATGAGAGTAATTTAAGGAAGTGTTTCATGTGATTTACTTGAATATCCTGAAATTCATAATAACTTGGTGTAGTTAAAAAGTGGAAATAGTAATCTACATTGAGTCCCTGCTCTTTAGATTCCTACCCCACTTCTTCAACATGTCTACATACTATAGCTAGGTAATTTTTACCTGATCAACCTAGAAGGGATTAGGGAGTTTACTGCAAGGGAGAACTATAGAACACCATATGTGCACTTTCTACAGTTTTATATAAATATACATGCTATGGTATATATATACGGGTATACACCTGCATAGGGTATGCCATTTACACAACCTTCAACTCCTCAGTTGGAGCAGCAACTTAGATCAGTGGAAGATCTTGGGAAGGGCTGCAGTGCCCTTGGGATAAGAGGAAGAATAAGTCCATACTTGTTCTTATTCCACCTAGGGATCAAAAGTGAGCATGGTATCACCACCAGCCATAGAACTGGAAAAACTCCTAGAAGCTTCAGAAGACTTCTGGGACTTAAAGTGGTATGTAGTAGCACAGTTAGATTAACACTGAAAATACCAAACAAAACACAGAAGACTTAGTGGTCTTCTAGCACATGGAAGGACTGATGGTTTGCCTAAACCAGGTGGTTCACTAGAATTTCGAGGAAAAAAATATATGTATATAACTCCATGTGTTTTAAACAATCTCTTCATAAAGCCCTGTTTTGCATTATATACAAATACCCTGAGGAGACCAAAGGGAAGGTAAAACAAACAGATTAGAGAAGACCGGTTTTGCAGAATTATCTTACAATTAATAATGACACTTTTTATGTGAAAAAAAAATTAGTATTTGATAATTCAATCCCTCATATATTTTACTTATAACTTACTTATTTCGCTTAGAAAAGAAAACAGGATGAAAAATGTACAGCAGCTATGCCATTTCAAGTCACACATGCACAGAAAAAAGACAAAGTCAAATGTTCTGGCTGATGCTAGGATCTGAGCTAAAAGGAGGTATAAGGAGGAAGGTACAGATATGCATTAACTTTTTATTTTCCTTGTGATATGAAATGCCTTTTCCCCTAAAATGACAGGAGTTTTGAAGAGGTTCCTAACAGAATGATCCTCCCAATGGTGTAAAGAACAAACATAACATAACATAACATAACATAACATAACATAACATAACATAACATAACATAGCATTCTTTGAAATATTCTATCAATCTGGAGTTTGTGAAAATAAATGACAGGAGGAAGAACAGGTAAATATTAAGGACCCATTGTAATGTGAGATCTAGTTTTATAGTTTTAGGACCAATAAGTAAAGTATTTTGGAAAAGAATTTTCTGCATATGGAAAGAACATACTGGATTATTTGGAATACATTATAACATTTATTGTTATATAGAGAGAGAACAAAAACACAACATACATAATTTGATTAAAGTATGTCTTGCTTTTTTCCTTTTTTTTTTTTTTTAGTTGGAACACAGTAGTATCTAAATGAAGTGGGAAGCAATTATTTATCAGTTTATCAGTCAATATGTCAGAATTGTTTGCTGTATGGGTAATAGTATGCTTTTACAAAAAATTGCAGGGTGGGTATGAGAGTCAGCTCTCTCTTTCATTACAATAGACAGATGGTAATATTACAAAGCAGGCTTTCAATATGAGGACAATGGCTGATCTGACAGCAGAAATTTTCTTGACAACAATTGAGCAATGGTTATTTGCTGCAGATGTCTAGGAACCTTGGGCAATATTATATATTCAGCTTTTAAGCAAAACTCTACAGTCTGTCCAAGCTGCTAGTTCTAATACTAATAATGTGACTAAATAAGAGGTTAATATGAGGTGGTTGTATGAGAGTACACAGAAATGACAGGTATAATCACTCCATATAATTATGCTTCAAACAGAAGGTATCAGAGTATTTGAAGAAGAAATATATATATATATATATATTTAAAATGTGTTTAAAAAATTGTTACTTTAACAACTTCATAAAACTCAGCTATACTCCCTTCTTTCAGTCCATGTGAATACAGGTTGTATAACAACTGAGCATTCTTGATCAAACAGGCATTTGTTTTCCTTTATAGAAACGTTGCAAGAGCTCATAATTCCCACAAACTGTACCACAGAGAAGCAATACTGATTAGTTGAATAGCACTGTAGATGTTCTACAGTGTTTTCCAGGAGAACATTTTTTACCGAAGTCTTGTTTTTCATCATCTAGTTCAGTAAGAGTAAATTCCCTGCTGCACATTCAGATAGTGCAGAGAGACAGTGTATACAAAAGAAGGGCTGAACAAAACATGGATATATGCTTCTTTTTGACATATTCCAAATCTTCCAGTTTCAGAGAAAGCTCAAATATGATATCAAAAGGAAGTTGTAAGTAATAAAACTTCATATTATCTTGTCCTGTTACCTGTAACTCCAGACATTGAACAATAGGGACTATGACCAAATTAACTAGCCTGTTGCAGAAAAATTTGCAGCATGTAGGAGCTCTGGCTATACCTATGTATCTGCTAGCAGAATAACCTGTTAGGATTGCAAGAACAAGACAACAGTTCCCTGAACTGAGAGATGTGGTACAGATCCAAAGAAAGCAGATACAATGACACATCTTAAAAGCTCCAAGACTTTTAAGAGCAGGAAGTCATCTACCCCCAGATGGTTTCCCTGTATAGGAAGTACAGGAAGGGAACCAAATACCTTGGAGGAGTTACAAAAAATATCTTCATGCTGGGCAGGAGAGTAGCTAGGTTAAAAAATGCTAAACTTGAATCTGAACTCTGACTAATTTCCAAAACTTATAAAAGGATGAAATGAACACCCACATTCCAGAGCACTTGGCTAAGAACAAGCATCCAATCCTCTTTAAAAGAGTAAGAAGAAATTGGGAAGATGTGTGCGTATAGCAATTTCTCATGCTTCATATCAAATCTCCTGAGGAAAGAACTGAAATAACCCTGAGAGTGTAAAGCCATCCAAAAATCTCTCATTCTAGATTTCTAGACTTCTTTCTAGATTTCACAGTGGCATACTATCCTGTGGCTCTGTCCTACATTCTTTGGTGCAGAGTGAGACAACTTAAACAGGGAGATGAAACAAATGCCCTGGCTAATGCCCTGTCCAGGGAAGTAGAAGATGTGGGTTTCAAAACCGAGAACACACTTCTCTTGTCTGGAGTGAATGATCTGATCATCAAGCTGTTTTGCAAAAACTAAAATAGTAGCAGGAGCAAAACAGTCATGCTTCCAGATGTTTCTTTTGAAAGTGAACATTGTTACTGTATTTTCCAATGTGTGCCACATTGGGCAGGATTTGGTAAAATTATGAATTTATAATGCATATTACATGTAATTTCAGAGTTTCTTTAAACTGTCCGGTCTTACAAGTCATGCTCCTGCATGTGACATAAAGCAAATTGGATTGTTTCTAACAAATCACTTACCTTTACTTTGTCATCTTACCACCATTCAAGGTTGCAAAGAAAGGCTGATCACTACTTGTAAATGACAAATCATAGGTTTTACTTCTGCTATAAAATTTTGTTCAGTACTAGATACTTTCCATCAATACTGATACTGTTGCTCCAGCACAGAAAGCCCTAAGTGGAAAATTCACGTATAGCTTTTTTCTACAAATGATATTTTTAATTTTAACTAGCTCTCATAATGGTTTTTCCAAGGTCAATATTTGCAGCTGTATTTGCCCCTTCATTTACATCATGAAGTGGGTGAACAGTATTTAAGTGTAAATGTCTTCTATTTCAATAGGATTTATTTTACCAAATGATTTCTGAGAAACTGAAATGATCTGCTTTTGTATCTTTGAAAAGAAGCAAATGAAAATGCAGATATGAAATAATCCCCTCTACATTTCTATGGTTTATGCTGGGGCAGCCTATAGGCATGTGAGATAATTTTAGTTTTATTCTGCTTGAATAAGATACAAAGAAATGTCAACTAGATACATATTTATTTCTGTGACCTATCTCCCAGGAAATAAATGTTTTTCTTTCATGTGCTAGAGCTTGTTCTCTGTCCCTTTTTAGGTTTTGTTTTTATCTTATAGCATTAATTTATTCATATATTACAATTATATATATATTGTATTACAATTACAACTTTACCTGAAATTCAATATTCCTAAATTTTCAAACAATAGTACTATTAAAAGACTAAATCAATCACAAAGGAAGAAAAATACTATGAAAAACAGCAGCATACGTAAGGGAAAAAGCTCCTGATTACTTCATCATTTTGTTTGGATGCTTTGTCTCTTTTAATTTTAATATATAGAAGAATGGTCTCTCCCCCCACCCCCCACCCCCCCGCTCCTGTTTTTTGTTTGTTTGTTTGTTTGTTTGTTTGTTTGTTTTGATTTATGGTGTCTTTTTGTCTTTCTAAGCAATTATCTCCCAGTCCTTTGGATTTTAGAGGAAATTCACTCTGTACTACATAATGCTATTACCTGAACAGCACAGTTTCTTTTCTCCCAGTCTCTAAATTGGAGGGACAGAGATTGTTGAAATGAAAAGATCTGTAGTCAGGCAACTGGCAGATCTGCATCATGGGAAATGATGCACATATTGTTCCCTTCCCAAAAGAGCACAGAAGATGGGTAACAGACCTGGACTGTATTTCTCATCTGCC